TTTGAAGATGTCTGTAAATGAAGATTTTCCCAGTCCAAGGCATCTCATTTCCTGACTGCTGATACCTAGGGTGTTAACTGTGGATCCAAGCAAGATGAAGCTGTTGACAGTTTCAGTCTCCTCTCCATTCATCATGACACAGCCTATAGGTCCAGTGGTAGAAATCTTTGCTTTCCTGACATTGAAATGTAATCCCTACTGAAAGTTTCATTCCTTGATCTTCTGCAATAAGTTCATCAAGCAAGGCTGTGTCATCTGCATAACACAGGTTATTGATGAGTCTCCCTCCAATCCTAATGCCATTATTCCTCTTCATAGAATGCAGTTTCTCAAATAATTTGCTCAGCATACAGTTTAAAAAGAGAATACAACCCTGACGAACTCCCTTCTTAATTTTAAACCATGCAGCGTTTAGCTGCTCTCTTTGCACATAAGCCTCCTGGTCCAGATGTAGGTTTAACATGAGCACAATTGGAAGCGGTGGAGCCGGCGTGCTTGTGCGGACGTGCCCTTCGTGCTGCAGCCATGATCATCCCCGTGCGCTGCTTCACCTGCGGCAAGATCATGGGCAACAAGTGGGAAGCCTACCTGGGGCTGCTGCCAGCCGAGTACATCGAGGGAGACGCCCTCGACGCACTGGGCCTAAAACGCGACTGCTGCCGCTGCATGCTGCTGGCCCATGTGGACCTCATTGAGAAGCTGCTCAACTATGCTCCCCTGGAGAAGTGAACACCCTGGAGAAGTGACCATGGCTGTGCCTCCCGGGCCAGGGTTCCAAGTAGGCCTGGCCTGGCCCAGCCTGTGTCGCCTCAGCCACTGCACCTCTGCTGACCCACGGACATCTGCAGGCCGGGGATGCAGATCGAGACAATGGCGGAATAAAGCTTTTGTAGAATGAAAAAAACAAACAAAAAAAAACCACAAACATGAGCACAATTAAGAGCTCTAGGACATTCTTCTCAATCTCAGCCACAAGTTGTTACAATCCACACAATCAAAGGCCTTTGCATAGTCAATAACACACAAACATTCTTCTGGTATTCCTTACTTTCTGTCAGGATCCATCTGACATCAGCAATGATGTCCCCGGAGGGCTTCTTCTAAATCCTGCCTGAACTTCTGGCAATTCCCTATCTATGTATTGTTCCAGCCGTTTTTTAATGATATTCTCAAGTATTTTGCTTGCATATGATATTAATGATACTGTTTGATAGTTTCCACATTTTGTTGGATTACCTTTCTTGGTAATGGGAACAAATATGGACCTCTTCCAATCTGTTGGCCAGACAACTGTCCTCCAAATTTCCTGGCAGAGACTGGAGAGCAGATCCAAGGCTTATTCTGTTAACTGAAACAAGTCAATGGTTACCCCATTGATTGCTGGGGCTTTATATTTTGCCAAAGCCTTCAATGTAGCTTACAATTTCTCCTTTATTATCACTGGCTTCTTTCCATATGGTATTTCCTGAAATTTTTCAATGTCAATCACTTCTTCTGGTACAGTGATTCTATGTATTCTCTCCATCTTCTTTTGATGCTTTCTGGGTTATTCAATATATTGTCCACAGCATCTTTCAATAGTGTAACTTAAGGCTTAAATTTGTTTTTCAGTTCTCTTAGCAGAGCATTTATTTTCCAATTCCAGCTGTCTGCACATTCCATTATAATACTTTGCCTTGACTCATAGTGACCCTACAAACAAGTCTTGAAGCCCCTCTAAAACTATCGACATTTATCAAAATTTCACTTTTTTACTATAAAAGCAATTCCATTCTTCTTCTGTTTTTCATTTTCAACATAGTATGTCATATGATTATCTGATTCAAAGTGGTCAAAGCTGATCCCTGCATTCCATTTCATCTTTAACAATTTGCAGTTTTCCAACATTCAAGCTATGTACATTCCATGTTCCAATCATTAAATATTGTTTGTTATTGTTTTTCCTCATTTCCTCATTTCAAATGACTTCCAATCTAAGTTCTACCACAATACTATTATAACTATCCTCACTCTTCTAGTCTTCATAGGGTTTTCAAAACTCTTTTATTTAAGAAATAGATGACAATCCTATTTTCTAGTCTGCCTTATTCTGGGTGCTCTACCAAACCCTGTCTATCATTATGGCATTTGACACATCAGAGGCAGAGCTTGCTGTACCATGTTCTTCCCAAAGACAATTAATACCAGGCCCAAGTAACTTTTAAATACAAAGGCACGCCACTAGGTCCTGATTGATTTTAAAAAAAAAAGACTTCCAGACCACCGATTGTTAACTAAATCCAAACGACGAATCAGCTTACACTTGACTATTAACAAAATAAAAAAACGACCAAATAGTTTACATCTGACTTGCAATTAATCCTGAATCCAACTCCTTCACACAGGAGACTCTAAAAACTGGAGCCTCTTAGTCAGGGCACCACTGAGTTTTAAATTACAAAGGCCCGTCCACTAGGTCCTGATTGATTTAAACAAGAGGATTGTAGGAGAGGATAAAAACAGATGAGTTTGTGTGTACATCAAAAAAACTTCTCTAGTAGGGAAAAAGAAAAACCAGACTGGGAAAAACTATTTGTCAATAACTTACCTGTAAAAGGAACTCATATCTAAAACTTCTAGAATAGACCAGCACCTCAACAAGTAAAGGATTAAACAGTCCAATTACAAAATGAGCAAAAGATATAAAAAGGTTCTTCACCAAAGAAGATATTCAGGTGGCCATCATACACATAAAGAATTGCTCAAGATCACTAATTATTAAAAAGATGCCAATCAAAGCAAAAATATCATCTTAATCCAGCAATAATAGCATAGTTTAAGAGGACAGGAAACAATTGGCAAGGTTGTAGAGACTAGAATTCTCATGCACCACAGGTGGGAATGAAAAATGGTACAGCCATTATGGAAGGCAGTCTTGTGTTTCCTCAAAACACCGAAAACAGAAACCCCATTTGACCCAGCTATTCCAGTACTAGAAAAAGTACTAAATAAAAATAGTACTAAATAGGACTGGTACTAAAGAAGTCAGAACTATGACACAAACAGATGTATACATATAAACATTTATTGTAGCATTATTCATAAAAGCAAAGAGATAGAAGCAGCCTGGTGTCCATCAACAAACAAATGAACAGATTAGTACATTCACACAACTGAATATTATGCAGTCTTGAAAACAAAGAACTTGTGAAACACTATACAACTTGGATGAATCTGGAGAATATTATCCTAAGTTAAATAGCTCAGAGGTAAAACGATAAACACAGTATAAAACCACTGTGACGGAGTTTGGTGAAGAGAGCAGAAAAAGAATGGATAGATAAAGAACACTGTGTTAGAACACACGAAGGGAAGATTAATCGGAAATGAATAGACAATCAGGTACTATGTGCATTGCAATAAACAATCTGCAACAGTACTTCCACTATGGATTGAACAGGGATGGGATAGGGAATAAAACATGTGACTCAAGTACAGATTTAAATGCAGAGCCGCACAGATAAGACCATAAATTAAATTTAAAATCCAGTACTTACACAATTGGATTCTATTTTAATGAAGCGTAATGAGAATGATCACTCACTATAACTGGTTAAAGTTGAGAAACCTTGGGCATGTTGCTAGGAGGGGTTATTCCTTGGAGAAGGATATGATGCTGGAAGGAGAAGACCCTTGACCAGGTAGATTGATGATGTGACTTCTGCAATGGACTCTTTTGTGTCAGGAAGTGTGAGGATGGCATAGGAGAAAACAGGGTTCAGATCGTTTATTTAAAAAGTCGCTATGAGTGTACTTGACTCAACAGCAGCTAACAACAACAACAACAGTTAGAAAATTCAATAAAGAAACGAACAGATTCGGAAGGAGGAACAATATTTTTAGACAAATAGCTATTAAGAAATATTGTTGTTATGTGCCATCGAGTCGTTTGCGACTCATAGCGACCCTATATAAAACAGCCCTAAACCCTGCTCTACCCTGCTCTATCCTGTCCCAAATGCATTGTCTCTGACACACCCATCCCGATTACCCCAGTCACTGAATCAATCCACCTCCTGCGCTGTCCCTCTACTCTACCCAGCATGATGTCCCTCTCCAAAGCCCTGTCTCTCCTTGCAACATGTTCAAAGTATGTCAGACGAAGCCCCAGAATCTTTGCCTCCAAGGAGCAGCCTGGAATATTCGGAGTTTTTTTTTAAGTTATTACAATTGCTGACTTTGTAAACTTTTTATGGAATTCATCTATCTAATGATTTATCTAATTTTGAAGTTGTATAAGTTTACCATTATAATACAGACAATCTTTAATTCCAGAATTATACACACACCTATATGGTTTCATATCTGTCACTGAAAAGGTTTAGTCATGACTTCCACTTAGAGAGTACACTTAGAAAGTACATGTGGTGTTGCTATGTGATTAAACGTGGCTTTCCTATGACCTTCATGATGTAAGTGGATATCAAACAGGGAGCAATAATGATCCTCAAGAGATTGGTCAGTATCCCCATCTCATCAAATTTAAATAGGGCAAGTTTAGTAGCAAAGATCGAAATCTCATTAACAGCAAGAGGAAGCAGTGCAGCTCATGTTCCTCAGGACCAGACATTTCCCAGCAAGTCATATCTGGACCACACGAGAGCAGCAGCCTCCTCTGCAGTGAAACAGACATAGACAGGAGATAGAGAGGCCCCCAAAGGCTAGCCAGGGGCCTTCACACAAGCTTGCCAAAAGACTGAGGAAAGACTCCAATACTGGCAAGACAAAAGAAACTTCTAACACTGATGTAAGCCACAAGGCTGAATGTCAGATGGCCTGTAAGCAAGCTTCAAAAGCTGTCCTGACTGAGGGAACTTTATGCTGATGTCAACCTGATTTGTAACCTGTTTCCTAACTGTGAAAGAAAAAGAATTGATGGATAAATAGTAACACACGTAATAAAAGTGATGCTTATTTTAGCACATGAGAGGAGGGGTAAAATTATAATAAAATTATCTTACTGTGAACTTAATGCCTAGTTGTGACTGAATTCCAAGTTGTTTAATTTCTAGTTTAGCCAACATACAAGATAATCGAGTAGGTGCAAATAACATATTGATGTTAACGTCTTCTTTTGGACGAATTCTGATCTCACAATTACTGGTCAATCGCTCTTCTGAACCAAAACTGTGCTGAAGCTGCAATTTAAAAACAATCACTGTATAAGTCAAAGTGGTTGCACAAATTATCATACTATCAATACAAGCTCTAAGATAAATGCCACAGAATTATCTCCACCTTAAAGTGTTCTTAACCCAGCAGAACAGAACCAAGCTATGCATTCCACAAACCTGAAAGCAGTCTTGATCCTGTCCTCTAATAACCAGTTGTAAATGTTGGGTTATAGATGTAGAATTATTTCTGAGAGCTAGCTTCTGAAGCCTAAAAACAATAACATATTAGTAAGAATGCAGACAAGGGAAAAGGGAAACATCCAATGTTGGGATAGATACGGGAAATTTTGTTCTTGGAAATACTGTTCATGGTACAACAACTGTGACAAACAGAATGGTGCTTCTTCAGAAAACTGAAAATGAAACCACCATACGATCCAGTAATTCCAATCCTAGGAATACACACTCAAAGATATAAAAGCATAGGCTCAAACAGATCCTATTTATACCAGTGGTCATCACAGCACTATCCATAATAAGCAAATACTGGACACAATCTAAATGCCTATCAAGAGTTGTATAGATAGATATAATGTGATGTGTATATAGTGTGAACTCAGGAGAAACAATCTTGATACATGCTACAACATAGAGAGTTTGAAGACATTCGACTGAAACCAGTCAGTTATATGCTGTGTTCCTGTAGAATTAGAACCGACCCATAGCTAACATTCTAGTGGGTTTTCAGAGACAGGTAATTTCACAAAAGGAGACTGCCCATCCTTCTCCTGCAGAGCAGTCAGTTACAAACACAAGGGCAAGTACTGTAATGACCTCACATAAACAAACAGACAAGAAAGTTTATTAAGGCTACTAGGACAAGGGGGAGGCAGGAAAGAAGAATTAAAGGTGACAGATAATTACATGGATTAACAGTAGGGCGGCTATTAATGAGTTATGTATCTGGAACAAGTTGTGTGATATAGTTACATAAGAGCAGCTGCTGAAGCTACTTATACAAATTCTTTAAATTTGGTTCCTTGGTTTGGAGGTTTCTTGAATATTCAAGTTAACTGGCCTAATCACATGCTTAGTGCTTCTATTTGACCTTCTACTTCACTGAGTAGTGTCTTGCGAAAGTCTTAAAAATTTGCAAGCAGCTATCTAAGATCCAAAAATCATCTCTATTAGAGAAACAAAGAAGGTCAAGGAATAGAGATGAAACTTAAATTTGTGACTAATTACCTCCATGAACAACTGCTTCTTTTGTCATGAGATCAGATGGCCTAGATGGTGCCCAGTTATCATTAGCAAACATTCTGACCAAAGAATTAATAGAAGAGTCATGATCTGTTGTTGTTAGGTGCCATTGGGTTGACTAACACTTATACCAAACTTATGAATAATATATCTGAACCTTGCCTTTGCTGAGCCACCCTCATCATCTCTGATATGCTCAAGCCTATTGTTATGGTCTCTGTGTCAATTCATTTTATTGGTTTCTTCTCTTTCTTTAACCTCCCACCTTTCCCAGCATGTCTTTTTCCAAGTGCTGGCCCCTGCTTACAATACGTCCAAAGTATGTTAGACAAAGTTTCACCATTCTTGTCTCTAAGAAGCACCCTGGTTGCACTTCTCCCAAGACAGTCTAGTTCGTTATTTGGCAGTTTGGATTCTTGGGAATGGCTATTATTCAACACAACTCCAAGTCACTGATTTTTCTTCTGTAATCCTTCCTATGCAACTTTCATATGCATAGAAAGTAATAAAAAAGACTTTTGCTTGGACCAGATATGCCTTAGACTTTAAACTTATAGCCTTGCTCTATAGCCCTTGTTAGCAGAGGTGGATCTGCAAAAAAGGAAATTGTTGACAATTTTAATCTTTTCTCCATCTATCCTGATGCTGTCTATTGTCCATGGTGAGGACTTTAAGATTACTGTTAAGATGTAATCCATATTGCAGGGTGTAGTCTTTGATCTTCTGAAGCACACCTTGCAAGTATACTTCATTTTCAGCAAGGAAGTGTGTGTCATCTGCATACGGCAGTGTGTTACTAAGTCTTCCTCCAATCCTGATGCCACTTTCTTCTTCATAAATTATGTAAATGTGTATGCTGTAAAGTATGATGAACTCAGCAAAATGGTGGTTTGGATGGTGAATCTGAATTGTGAAATGTCTTTTTTCAGAGTTTACTTCTTGCTATGTCAGCTGCTCTTCTAGTTATGACTGTTCAGTATTTCCTTCAATTATATCTTCTGAACTCATAATCAGTCAATAGTTCTTCCTTATAATTCTTCTCTCCAGAATAAGAGCTGCATAATAAAGTGGACTGGGGGGTGGGGTGGGTGGAGGAGGGGACTGTACAATGATAGAATTTTTTTTAAAAAGAAAAGTGAACTGCCGGAGGGGGAGAGCAGGGAGGAATATGTGCAACAATGAATGAATGGAAATTCAAGTTCTCTATAAACTTTCATCAAAATCTCAATTAAAAAATTTTTTTAAAAAAACCCAAACCCCAAACCAAGTCTTGTCTGTTCCCTCTTAGGAATTGTGGATTGTCAATAATGATTCCAATCTGGAAGGAAGCACTTAGGAAGCCATATAGATCATTTTTCTGTAAAGCCATTTAGATTCATGCTAACTCTAATCCCCAGTAGTCTGAACTCATGTTTCAGTTCATTTATCAGTTCTTGAGTTTTCATACCAAATCAGCCTGCTGTTTTTTTGTCACACTGCTTTTTTTTTCTGAATTTGAACATTTTCTTTATGTTGGGATACTAGCTCTCTGTGTGTGTGTGTGTGTGTGTGTGTGTGTGTGTGTGTGTGAATAAATCAAGTACTCTAGAATTCCCATTTCCCCCTGGGATATCATGAGACAGCGATTTTAAAAACACCTTAGTTATCAAATATTGCTACAACAAGTAGATGGCTTTAACAGAGAGAAATTAATTTTCTGACAAAGTCCAAATTCAGGGTATCAGCTTTATGGTATTTCTATCTCTCTATCTTCTAAGAGTTTCTGAGCATAGGAACTTAAGTCCCAAAGAATTCTTCAATCGGAGGTCTTCCCTCTTGAAGGTACTGCTGTCTGCCTTGTTCCACTTGCTTTTCTATCTTTTAGGCAAAAAGGCGCCTAAAGGCGATGTAGACTTTATCTAAGGGAAAGTTCTCTTAGACTGGTCAGGATGCAGACCTGGTAATAGTCAGCTATGAGTCGATTCCAACTAAACAGCAACAAGTTACCTATCTGGTCCCTTAAAACATTCCTAGGAACTACTCTCTATCCAATTCCAACAACTTCACATTTTAGAGTAATACATCACTTTTCAGTAGCAAATGGCTAATGCTGGGTTCCCTAGAGAAGTAATATATACATATGCGTAAATGAATGTAAGAAACTGAAACACACATTTCAAGGAAATAATGGTGCATGTGCTTACTAAGGATGGCACATTCTAGGCCATGGGCCAGAAGTGCAGATAGAGCCGTAATCAGCTGTGCTCTTGTACTCACTCTCACAACGCTCAAGTTGGAACCAATCAGACCAGTCCACTGCAGACCTGTCTCTACTGGGTTTCAGAGACTAATTCACATGGGAAGAGACTTGTTCATCTTTATCCTCCAGAGCTGCTGACGGATCCAAATCACCAGAGAAATTGGGCCCTGGAGGACAACTCTCTACAAACCAAACCACCAAAGTTCCCTCTTAGAGCTGTAGGGCTGAAAACCCCATGATCTACAAGAATGGTGTCAGACTGCTTGGCTTAGGAAGCTGTTAAATGCAACAACAGTAGGTTTAGGGAGCTCTGGTGGCCTAGTGGCAAGAAGGTGCACTGCAATTCCAAAGACACACCATTCTAATCCACCAGATTGCTCTGCTGGAGGAGGGACAATCTCCTCCTGTGCTGGGTGGGTCTGATTCAATGGTTATTGTTGTTGTTATGTGCCGACGAGTCGTTTCTGACTCATAGCGCCCCTATGCACAACAGCCCTAAACCCTGCTCTATCCTGCGCCAACCGCACCGCC